TTGAGCTCCTGTTTTGTAAAAGGCCTGAGAAAGAACTTAGATAGTATGTTTTTCTAATTTATCTAAAATTTAAATATAAAATTAAAGTATCTGCTTTGTAAAGCAAGTTGAGGACAAAGCAAACACATTTTAAAATTATAGAAAGTTAATTTTCATTTAGTAAAAGTGGAAGTCAATCATAACTAGGTTTTACACACAGTAAATGCAATTATCAGCTTCAGACATCTAAACAATGTATTTCTATTCCAATCTGAAACATGGTGGTTCATGATGGAGAGAGGACCTAGGGAACTATTAGGGTAGTTGTCCCCTATATGACTTCTGAACTTACAAGGTAGTGCCAATATTTAAATTTTGAGTTATGCCAACTAACTTTAACCATATATGTTTAAACATAATATATACAAACATGTACATAAACATTTTTGGATACAATTATTGACAATTACCAGAAATTATCCAGGGATAATTTTTAGATGGAAGAATATAACATAAAAATTCAGAGCATTGATTCCCTCACTTGCCATTTTATTTTAAACTTTTAGATTAACCCTTGATGGTCCTATTTCTAGAATTAATATACAATACAACTTTCTACCTTGAGTTTGAATGTTACTGAGCAACTCACCAGGTTTTGCAAATAACAATCATCAGCAACATGGGTAATGGACAAATTCAAGGTCCACATGACCTTTCTTGAACTATAAACAGTGAACAGTGGGGTCGCTCAGAGGGGGAGGATAGCCTACTATCACAGCCCCCTGACAAGACTCTCTGACCTTTCCTGTCCCACAGACTGAAAATTGTACACAGCTTCCCAGGTGTAGCATTTGGCCTGGAAAGATGGCTCAGCAGCTAAGAGCATTTGCTGCTTTTGCAGAGGACCCAGGTTCTGTTCCCAGGCAGGAAATCACTGCTCACATTGGTCTACAATTACAGTCCCTGGGAATCCAATGACTTTTCTTTACTTAGATCCACATCAGGCATGCACAGAATACACATGCATACATGCATGCCAAACATTCATATGCACAAAATGAAAAATAAATACGTTTTAAAAATAGAGCTTTTGTGAGTCATCTGTTCAGGTATGTGGTTTTAATGCTGCAATTGCTTTTGAACCACCCATGCTCCTGCAAGAAATCTTTTAAACAAATTCCTGTTAACAAATAACCTCATAAACTCATGTCTCTCCAAAGTGGACTTTGTAGCAATGGCCACAGTGATCTGTCAATTGTGTCCTACTGAGGTCAAAGGGTATTTGCTGCAGTCTTTCCAAGAAACCTCAAATTGTGACATGTGTTACCTAAATGGTCACTGAGGTGTTGGTGTCTCTTCACAGAAATTGAAACCTTAACTAAGACACAGATGCACATACATATATATAAATATATATTTACCTATGTATTCACTCAAGTATTCATGTATACTATTAAGTCAACATACATATAAAACATTGCTATGCTAATAATGATAAATATGTATATACTTTAAAGATACAAATTTTGTGAGTCATCTGTTAAGATGTTTGGTTTTGATGTTGCAGCTGCTTTCTGTAAGTAATCTATCAAATAAATTCCTGTGATAAATTCATAACCTCATGTCTCTTCAAGAGGGATTTTGGAGGAACGGCTACACTGATCTTTCAACTGTGTCCTACTGAGATATTTGCTCCCATCTTTCCCAGAAAAGTCTAATAGCACTATCTGTTACCCACATAAACTCACAAGGGGATGAACCACAAAAAGCATCATTTCTATGTACTCTTTCTTCCTAGATCCTAGAAGGCAAAGTGGCAGCTTTTTATATTAAGATGCTTTGTCACAAGGCATTTAATTATTAATTATGTAGGTAATCCAGCAAACTCTAGGATAATAGTCTCTAGAAAGGCAGTCCTGAGTGTAAGTATATCTC